GGGCTGCTGGGCGCCAAGAAGCAGCCAGACGGGGCTCAGCCAGGCTGGCTCACGCAGGTGGGCACGGCAGCTCCTTCCCACAGGCAGTCCGGCCTGAGCGAGCCCCCTCCCTCCCGCAGTCTGTCTGGGTCCCCAGAGGATCACCCATCTTCTGGAAAGGGCGGAGTGGTGGGTGCAGACGGGAGGGGTGGGGGTCTGGAAGTGGGGAGTCGGGGAGCCGTGGAAGGAGGAGGCAGGCCCACCCAGGGGAGCAGCGCCCAGAGCCGCAGGGTGCAGCCGTGAGCATCGCCCTGGGAGCCTGGGGCTGGGGCCGGGAGGGCGCCTCCCGGAGCTGAGCACCGTGGCGGTTCTGGGGCCCCTTGCATCTCGGGGACCACCTCGGGGCCTGGCCTGCAGGAGGGGCGGCCTGCGGAGAGAGCCTGGCCTCCCTCTGGGGGGTGCCAGCCTGCAGGGAGCGCCAACGGGAGCTCCCCTGGGGCCTGGGAACCGTGCACTTCACAGACAGACATCCCCCAGGCCTCTCCGCAGAGTCCTTATCTCAGCGCCCTCACCCAGCCCTGCTCCCGTCCTAGCGGCTGGCACCACCACTCCCCACTCACAGGCTTACCAGGCACCGGCCCTGGCTCCGGCTCTCACTCTGCCCATACTGCACCCGCACGGAGGGTCACAGTTCCCGGCAGAGGCCACGCTGTCCTGCTGCCCTGCCTCTTCCCGAGCTCTTCCTTCCGCCCAGAGCCCTCTGCCTGGTCTGGTGCTCACCTGTCAAGAGTCCGCTTAAGCAGCATCGCCCTCTGCGAATCCTTTCTGCTCTTCCCTTCCTCCCCGCCCCGCCTGCCCTCCGTGCCCAGGCAGACAGACACGCCGCCTCACTGGTCCCCGAAGCCAGCACTGCTCCCACACAGCTTCCCCACTGGATGCATATTTCATGAAAAATAAATAATTTAAAAGAAATGTGGCCCAGCCGGCCTGGCTCAGTGACTGAGCGTCGACCTATGAACCAGAAGGTCACGGTCCGATTCCCGGTCAGGACACACATCTGGGTTGCAGGCTCCATCCCCAGTGGGGGGCCTGCAGCAGGCAGCCGATCAGCAATTCTCATCATGGATGTCTCTCTCTCTCCCCCTCTCCCTTTCCCTCTGAAATCAATAATAAATGATGTGAAGGGCACTTTTGGGGGAGACAAAGGAGTGACTTTGATTAAGGAAACCAAGCCCACAGGTGCCACCACATTTCCCAAGTTGTCCCTGCCCTCAGCCTTCTCCTTCCTGGATCCCCTCGGCCTCGAGGGCCTGCGGAGTGCCCCCACCACACACACACACACACACACACACACACGCACACATGCACACACACACACAGGCACACAGAGGCACACACGCACACACACACACAGGCACACACGCGCGCACAGGCACACACACACAGGCACACAGGCACACACACAGACGCACACACACAGGCACACAGGCACACAGGCACACACACATAGGCACACACACATAGGCGCACACACGCACACACGCACATACAGGCACACACGCGCACACACACACACATAGGCACACACGCACACACACACACTGGTACAAACACGCACATGCGCGCACACACGCACACAGGCACACACAGACACACACGCACACAGGCACACACACATAGGCACACACATAGGCACACACGCATGCACACACGCACACACACACGCACACAGGCACACACGCACATGCGCACACACGCCCACAGGCACACACAGACACACACACAGGCACACACCTAGGCACGCACACACACACATGCACACAGGCACACACACGCACATGTGCACACACGCACACAGGCACACACAGACACACATGCACACATGCACACACACACCACAGGCACACCGACCCTCTGACCCCTAGTCTCTGGTCCGTGTGCAGCCCCTTGGCCGGCCTTGCGGGGTCACCCGGGAGCCGTGGCGGTGGCATGACATGCTGCTCACGGTGTTATGTCATCCCGCCCTCGGGCTGGCCGAGCCCTTTGATCTCCAGCCACACATGGCAGTGGGGGCAGCCACCTGTGTCCTCCACACAGGCTGGTGTCCAGGAATGCCCTTGGCCCTGGCCCGTGCCCCGCCTGCCTTCCAGTGAGCGCACGCCCCGTGCCCTAGGTCAGCGCCCCAGCCGCCCCGTCTCTCCCCCCAGCCAGGCACTCAGGAAAGTGGGGTCAAACCTGTTGGTCACCGTCTTGGCTCAGACAGTGAAGGTGCTGCTTCCGCCAGGCTGGCCCTGTCTGGCTGTGGGCCTGGGTGAGGGGGGAGACCCGGGACTGGAGTTCAGGGGTAAAAGAGAGGCTGGATCTCGCTGTCCAAATGCTAACCTCTCTGACAATGGGAATTTCAAAAATATTTATCTATATTTTTTTTACTGACTTCAGAGAGGAAGGGAGACGGAGAGAGGGAAGAGAAATATCCGTGATAAGAGAATCAGTCATTGATCTGCTGCCTCGTACAGGCCCCCCACTGGGGTCTGAGCCCACAAACCCAGGCATGGGCCTCGACAGGGAATCAAACCCTGACCTCCTGGTTCACGGGTCAATGCTCCACCATTGAGCCATGCTGCCCGGGCGACAATGGGAATTAAAAAAAAAAAAAAAAAATCAAATCCAAAGGGCAGGCTCACCAGTGCTTGTATTTATTTTTCGAAATAAGCTAACTTAAGCCACGCGCTTTCCTCTTCAGAGGATGTGGAGTTTTGCCTCTATTCCAACTGGCTCTGCCTCTGCTCTCTGGCCTCTGACGACCGTCCGGGCAAACGCACAGAAGGAAAGCCACCGCGGGCCGCACGCCAGCGTCCCGGGTGGGCAGGCGTGGCTGCCGGCCCCGGGGAGGGGAGGGAAAGGTGCACAGATCTGGCACGCTGGTCCCCCGCCTCTCTGTCCCCTCTGCTTCGGAACAGCCCTGAGAGGGCCGTCGAGGGGCTTGAAAGGGCGGGCAGAGGGGAGAATGCTCGCACAGAAGCACGCACCCTCCCAGGCACTCACTTCCAGGGGCCGGGCCGCTTCAAACAGAGGCCTCCAGGGGCTGGGTGGTGGTGGGAACACGGGCTTCTCTGACTAAGACTTCTGGGGCCCAGAGGCAAGTATTTCACACTCTTCCCAACCTTGGACACGGACCAGTGGGCGAAGGGTCCTTCCAACCACAACTTCTTCCTTGAATGAGAGACCTAGGGAGGTTCCGGATATAAAGAGGACCTGGCGGGCAGAGTGTGTGTGTGTGTGTGTGTGTGTATGTGTGTGTGTGGTGCGGGGGATGGCGATTTAGGAAAAAAACCAAAACAATGGGAAGACATGAACTCTCAGCACAGGGGAGAGGAACCTGGCTTCCCGGAGTCAGGGGTGAGGCAGAGGGTCGGGAGCGTGTACCTGGGAAGCCAGGGAGCTTCGTGGCGTGGGGAGCCCAGGGAGAAATCCCAGGTGACCAGAGAGCCAAAATAACTTTCCGGAACATTTCAGAAATGTGACTTTAAATCGTTTGCTGTGTGATGTCATCTCTCCCCTGTGGCCAACAAATTTTCATTAGAAGTTCTGCTCCATGTTACAGCACTATTTGTGTGGTTGTTTTGGAGTCGAGGTGGGGGCTGGAAGGAACAGGGGCTGCAGCATTCCCCGTGCAAACTGATGGCAGGAGCTAAAGAAACAGCAAAGCTTCGACGAGGCGGAAAACCAGAACCGGAGGTGACCACAAACTCAGAGTCCCCCCCCTCCCCCCCAGTAACTCACAGAGATCCTGGGAGGGCATTGGACGTCCACGGGACGTGGGAGTTCGAGCCAATGTCATCCGAATCTCAAAGGGCACGCTACCTCAGCTGACATTAGGCTGCAAATAGGCTTTGCCTCTCCAGCTGGACTAAGCCTTGCAACACATAGACTAAGTCTCCAGGGACTTTGCTATCCAGGGCAAACGAGTGGGGACAGCACATAGTAGGGTCCAGTAAAGGCATGTGGATGGTCTGTGGATGCCCTGGGTGCGCCTCACTGGGAACTGGCAGAGTTTAATATCTGGGGGTCAGGGGGAATGGCACTGAAGCAGGAAAGCCATTCAGTCCGGGAACTTCTCCCCTTACCGCCATCATCTGACCGGTTAGCCAGCCCTATCCCCCGTGGCTAGATAACATCAGCTCTGTGGCCTGGAGGCCTGTAAACAGGCAAGGCCCAGGGGACACGGTGGAGGAGGAGGTCGCAAAGGTTGTGCAGAAACCACACCGCTCTGTGTCTGCCCACCCTCATACACCCAGGGAGGTAAACACTGCCCCTTGGTTCGGGGCTTCAGGTCCAAAGGTCATGGGGCGGGGGCGTTGAATGAGTGAGTTGCTTTGGGCCGCAGATGTTTCCTAGGACCAGCTGCAGGATGTGTCGCGTGGGGCTCTGGTTCTGCACCCCGTTTTGAGGTCTTGCCTGGAACCCCACATCCCAAAGACACCCCCGCCCCCCCACCCCCCCAGTTCTGCAGCTTCCCTGCAGGAACCACACGCTGCTCGCAGGGCTGATGGCGCCACCTGGCGGCGCAGAGGGTCCGATGCACCTTGCGAGCTGGGAAGCCGACGGGGGAGTCTGCGGCGGCGGCCCGGCCCAGCGTGGTGACGTCACGGACGAGCGCCTCTCCGCCCCGCCCCGGAGCTGCCAGTACCCGACGTGGCGTCACCGCCCTCTACCCTTACTCTGCGTGCGTGCGTGTGTGCGTGCGGCGGAGGCGGCGGCGCGCGCCAGTCGGAGCTCCGCGCTGCTGCTCCCGGGGCTCCTGTCGCTGCCGCCGTCGCGCTCCCGCTGCCTCGGACGGCCCGGCGGACTCGGCGTCCGCCCCAGCTCCTCGGCCGGCCCGGTCGCGGCCCCGCGCGGGCCCGGCGGGAGGGTGGGCGAGCGCGTGCCGGAGGGCGCCGCGCGGGCGGGCGGGCGGGCGAGCGCTCGGGCGCGGGCGAGGCGGGGGCGGCGGGGCAGCAGCGGGCCCGGCCGGCCGGGGAATGTCGATGCCTGACGCGATGCCGCTGCCCGGGGTCGGCGAGGAGCGGAAGCAGGCCAAGGAGATCGAGGACGCCGAGAAGTACTCCTTCATGGCCACCGTCACCAAGGCGCCCAAGAAGGTGCGGGGGCTCGGGCGGCGGCGGCGGCGGGGCCGGGACCCGGCGGGGCCTCGCGGGAGAGGCGCGAGCGGGCCCCGCGCTCCAGCCGGCCCGCGGCGCCAGGGCCGAGGCCGGAGGGGGTCGCGGCGGGCCGAGAGGGTGGCGGGGTGGCGGGGGAACCGCCCCGGGCCCGTCCCGAGCTGGCCAGGCCGCCCCTGACCTCCCTTTCCTTTGTCCCCGGGCCCCGGTCCTCCGGGATCTCTCTGAAACGCGTCCCTGGCCTTGCCCGGAGGAAGGGCCTCGGAGACGGGAGCGCGAGGGCGGTGAGCCCCCTGGCTGAGCCCCGGGCCCGGCCCCGGGGGGGGGGGGGTGGTGCCCAGGAAGCCGCCCCGCAGGTGAGGGGTCAGCCAGGTAGCGCCGCGCCGGGAGCTCGGCTGCGTGCTCGCCGGGAGGCCCGCAGCTCTGCTGTGCAGGTGAGAGCAGCGGGGGCGGCGCGGGGGGAGAGAACACTGAGATCTTCACCCTCTTCGCTGCCCCACTTCCTCCACGCACGTGAGCACTGAGCCCTGGGACGTGAGCCCTGGGAGGTGGGGTACACGTGTGTCGTCGTCGTCGAGTCACGCGAACAGCTGATCCCCGAGGCTTCCCTGGAGCAGGGGGCTGGGTGGGTCTGCCGGGTGGGTGGGAAGACAGGATTGCTCAGTTTCCTCTGTTGTGCTGCGGGCTGAGCCCAGAGGATGCCCTCCTGGCCCTCTTGCCGGGAAGGTTAGCCGGCAGCCTTCGGAAGGGGCGCTCGCTCGGTCTCACCAGCTCCGGGAGCGATGGAACCGGGATCCTGAGCGTTTGCTGCCAACCACATCCTGACTTTGCACATACCTGGCGCTCGGGTAGCAGGAGACCGGAGAACCTTTGCAGGCCCCGGGGGAAGCCGGATAAACATCCCCCGCCGGTGTCAACACAGAGTGGCCGAGGCCTGCAGCGTTCCCCGGGCGCAGCTCTTGTGTAAGCGGACCGGCCTGGCTGGAAGGCTTGGCAGGAGCAGTTACAGCCCTGAGGCCCCTTCACCTGAACTGGTTACGCTGTTATTCCTTTTGTTTTATCTTTTTTTTTTTTTTTTTTTTTTTTAAAGAAATTAATCTAACACTCCAGAAATCAAATGCAGGGTGGAAAAGACAGTTCATTGTTGTGTGCTTCATTCAGCTCCATTTCCCCCACGAACTTATGGTCTTACGATAGAATGCCTTTTAGAAGGTTGGGGAAGATCTTTTGATTCGAAAGGGCCCAAGGAGCCTTCCTTTTAGTGCTCTGGGTTCAGCCGACTACGTGGCTGGGACAGTAACCCGTAGTCATCTGTTTAGAGACAGCCACAGCCGTGCTGGCTGAATGCTTAGGGATAGTACCTTCTAGGAGTGATGGGAAAAGCTGGTACTCTAAATCCCCCACCGCTTTCTCTCCCCGCCAACCTGTCTTGTCTCCGCATTAGGCGCCTCTATCCATACTGGCCTTTATGTTACCAAGCCTTTATTCTCGCAAATGCCACTACTAATGAGATAAAGTTTGTATCCTAGATCGAAGATCGTAAACTGCAAAAAGGCAGGGACTCTTGTGCGCCATTGAATGCACTGTGCGTGGCTCTGTCCCTAGAGTCTACAGTAGGTACTCAATATTAATGGCCCACCTGGCTAGCTGGTTCTCCAGATGTCTACATGGCTGCCTACCAGGAAGAGGTGCCCTTCTCCCCCTTGCTTCCCTGGAGGAATATCGCTGATGTGTATTATTGTCAGGCCAAGTGCTAATGACTTGAAAGGCTCATTCCATTAGCTGACAGCAGCGCCCGGGCCAGGAACGTGGGAAGACCCCGTGTGAATTTCCATTTGCTGGCAAATGTATCCCCGTGTTTCTTATTAATCTTGCTCTCTCTGAGCTTTATTGTGTGGCACTTACGCAGCACGATATTAAAGTGCTTTATGATAACTAATTACCCTCCCGCGAGTGACTATAAAAGGCATTTATTTGGTTCATGGGTTGGTTGCGGACTAGTCAAGGTCATGTAGCAGCAAGTCCTAGGTGATCGTTTTTCCAGAACGGCAGCGGAGTTGGACAGTATGACGTAACGCACTTTTGTGCCTCTGCCATGTGTGGCTACTGTGAGAAAGTATGAGGAAAGTCAGAGGAAAATGCAGCGTGGCGGTACTGAATGGCCTCTTCACAGGGTGCTGTCCTTCACCTGTGAGGATTCCGACGTGGCTCCGGACCAAGTAATTCTGGATCATTCCAAGGTCCCTTGGGAACTGAGGACATTTCTGATGCCAGAGGCTGTAGGTCACTTCAGGGTGACCTTGCTGGTCCTCAGCTTAGATTCCAGTATAACTAGTGAAGTTAGTTTTTTCCCCTTATTGAGGAAGAGTGGATGTCCATCAATGGGCAGCATAGGTACTGAGATTCTTCTATAATTCGGTTTATATGCCTGGGGCTCCCACGGTGCTGTGTAGATAATAGACTTGTTGGTTTGATTGTTGGCCTGGGTGTCTACCACCTTAAGCAAGTGAGCTTCTGTGCCTCAGTTTCCTTATCGGCCGAGTAAGTGCTTTTTGTTTGCAGCAGGGGAAATAGGCACAGGTTGGAACCAAGCAAAAGTTTTTTTTTTTGTTTGTTTTTGTTTTATTTTTTAAATATATTTTATTGATATTTTACAGAGAGGAAGGGGGAGAGAGAGCTAGAAACGTCGATGAGAGAGAAACATCAACCAGCTGCCTCTTGCACACCCCTTACCGGGGATGTGCCCACAACCAATGTACATGTCCCTGACCGGAATCGAACCTGGGACCTTTCAGTCTGCAGACGGATGCTCTATCCATTGAGCCAAACCGGTTTCAGCCAAAAGTGGTTTTTTGTTTGTTTTTTTAAAGAAGTCTATTAGAGGGCAGGAGTAGGGTGGAGGGGGTCAGTGGGGAACAAAGGGGAACATTTGTAATACAACAATAAAGACTTTTAAGACTCCCTCTTTTTAGTGAGCATTTGAGCTGCTTTATAATACAGGACTCATACAATACAGAGAGGAAGTCAAAACTATAGAAACTAGCAAAAATGTTGTTAACCCTGAGGGCTACTATGGTTGGTGAGGCTGATCATCACATGTAACTCGAAGCTTCCTAGGAGCCCGGGGGTAAAAGGAATCCCAGAGTTACTTAGTCTTCCTAGCAGACATGGGAAAGAATACATACCGATTCCTGAGGAGGACAACTTGTGCAGACACTTAGTTCAACGGAGGTTTCTGAAGGACATGAGCAGCTATCGTATGATTGGGTAGTCAGGTTTGTTCACGGTGGTCACTGGTGATTTCAGATGGTATAACGGAGTTTTGGGTGAGAAAGGAGTCCTTTAGTTGTACTGAATGGTGTGAGGAAAAGGCCTCTTCAGAGGGTGCTGTCCTTAGCCCCTGAGGATTCCCATGTGGCTCCGGACCAAGTGATTCGGATCATTCCAAGCCCTGAGGCCCCTGAGGAAATGTTTCCGGTGCCAGTCAGAGGCTGGAGGTCACTTCAGGGTGACCTTGCTGGTCCTCAGCTCAGATTCTAGTGTAACCGGTGAAGTTTTAAACACTGGGAAAGAGGGGGTGTCCATCAAAAAGCATAGGTATAGAGATTCTTCAACAATAATCACAATGGTCACGACCAAAGAGGATCCTTGTTTGTGATTGGCGGTTAGGTTATCAGGCACACGGAACAAGTCAGCTGGCTGCCCATCACCCCTGGGTGTTTCTCCTGTTTCTGCCACTTTGTGTTGAGAGGTAAGAGCAGTTCTTGGGCTTTTAGAAATGACATTGTATCAAGTCGATTTCCCCCCATAGGGTGAGCCCAAGTCTGCAGCTTGTTGATGGAACTGAAATAGACATGTTTCTCTGGAAGGCCTAGCAGGACGCTTGCTCTTCTCTGGACATTTGGAGGGCCTCGGGGGTGACACATGAGGCACTTGCCCTAGTTTTGCAGTCAGACTACCAACCTGCAAGAGGGGCAAGAAGAGAAAGAACACAGACGTTACTTTTGCTTGTAGGATATTCTTTTGAATAAAGGAGTCAGCTGAACCTAGGAAACATACCAGTAGAACCCCAGTGAGTACTAGTTAACCATTTTGGTGGAATCTTAGTGCAGTTTTACAGCATTTACACCGGTACTTCGAGTCACTGAGAAGAGATTTAATAGGCTGACCTCTCTCTTCTTCAAACATCATTAGTGTCTCTTGATTCTCTTTCCTGGCGGTCTCTGATCAGGCATCAGAGGTGTAAGAAGATCCTATCTTGTGTAGATTTCTCCACAGATATGGATCACCTCTCTTTCTTACTTGATTCTGTTTAGTTAGTGCAACACTAGTTTCCGTTATCACTTTGTTCTAAGTTCATTAAACTTTTAGCTTGTGGCAAGATTACAAATGTGGGCCATTTGTTTTATCAGGAGGATGTAGCTTGGATCCAGTGTGTTATCCAATGTGATATTCTTGTTGTGTTATCCAATGTGATATTCTTGTTGTGTTATCCAATGTGATCTCTTCTGACGGTGTTTACGAAGTTTTTAATGTATTTTGATACATGCAGTGTAGATCTTTAGTTGCTGGTGACACCGAATAAGTTTACTTTGTTACCTCATGTAGTTAAGATCTGTAAACAACTATTTTAGTGCTTTCTTGAACCTGACATATAAAGGAACTGGCCAGTAAAGGAGAATCATTTATACCAATCTGTTTCTCAAATTTGGGAATCTGAATATTAGAATTTTATTAAGAGCCACCCTTATTTTTCTGGGTATAATATTCAGAACATGTCCTAGTGAGGGGTGTCAGAAGCAGCCCCTCATGTATGAAGAACGACATATTTGCACTGACCAGTTTTTTCCCAACCTGAAATCTGAGAACCCAAACTTGAGGACAAATTCTTACCACAAGACTCTTATCAACACTGTGAGTGCCTCGCATATGGCAGCAGTTAAAGTTTCACATAGAATTGTGGTCACTTTTTCTCTTCGGAT